TCACTGGAGTAGGAAGAATTGTGGTCACCAGGATAATGTAGAGGTGAGCAGAGTCTCAGGGAGTCACTGGAGTAGGAAGAATTGTGGTCACCAGGTTAATGTAGATTCTGGTTTGGTGCCAGTGTGGGGCCTGGAGCTACTCAGCAAAAGTCTCAGAGCCCACCAAGGCCAGTTGCCGCCCACCTGGGGCCACTGGGTTGGATAGTTATCCAAGAAAGAGTGCAATGTGGGCAGGACTGGCTGCTTGGGAGAAAGACCCTCTGGCATTGGGGGAGTTGGGTGGGGAGGGGTGGAGCTCACCAGGCCAATCAGATTCAGATTTGGCTGTGAGAGGGAGGTCTCAACAGAGGAAAGATCGCATCTACCTGGTGGCCTCAGCAGAAGAAGACCCCACACAGGGAAAATGGTGACTGTCCTCCAGCCCTCGCTCCAAAGTCACACACCTCAGGCTGCACCTCCCCCGCACTTGTATGCTTCTGATGCCCCACAAGCCATTGTCCCTCCTCTGGAACCCAGGGTGCGTGTCTGTTAAGAAAGTGAGTCTGCACGGGCTTTTAAAGAGAATGTCTGAGTTTCCTGCAGCCTTCCGTCTCACCCTGACAGTCAGAATGCCCACTGTTTTCCACAGCCAGATGTTGTGGGTGCTTCTCTTCCTGCCATCAGTACTCCGGGCTGGGGAGCCTGGGATCCCTCGCTCCTCCAAGGGGAACCCCTGCAACCAAGATATCTCTCCCAGTTCTCAAACACCAGATGGAGGTTTGGGGTTGGCCCGTTTTGTGTCTCTGCCCCTCCTACCAGTCTCGACATGGCTTCTTCTTTATATCCTTAGTTAAAAATTTCTGTTCAGCTAGACTTCAGATGGTTCTCCAGGCTGATTGTTCTATTTATTAGTTGTAATTTTAACGTATTCACTGAAGTAAGCAGGCACAGTGTTTATCTACCCCACCATCTTGGATCTCCTCATGTGTAGTTTTTTGCAACTGACTTCTTTCATTCAGCATGTTTTCAAGGTTCATCCTTCCTGAAGGGATGCATAGATACACTTATCAATTCCTTAATTTTGGTACAGTTAGTCCAACCTTCAGCCAGACAGAGAGGGAAAGCAAGAGATGGAACTGTGGGTTTCAGAGAGCGAGTGTCAGGCAGACAGAGGAGCTGTGGGAGGCCATCTTCACAGCTGCTTCTAATGCAGGATTGTGTTGCTCCTTCAGGCTGCCACGCTTACTGCCTTTGGGATAGCTTCGCCAAAATAATCCCAAGACAGCCGGAAATCCGAATACCAGGGAAAAAAATCTTTGTAGCCATTAGAGCATATTCCGCCTGAAAGTGAGCTGCCCATGTTCAGAGTCCACAGCAATTCCAGGAGGGCTCTGCCCTCCCCCGGCCCAGGGCCTGGAGGCTACACTCATTCTCCTGCCCTCTCCAGGGACGCAGAAGTTATGAAGTTATGACCACTTCTTAGTGGTGGGCTGGTCTGGGCTTGTCCTGACCATGGAAGGGTGGGCTGATGGAATCCTTCTGTGTGAGCTTTCTGGGGGAGGCCATTTGCTCCTGACTTGGGGTGGGGAGGGAAGTGGGTTTGTGTGTGGGTTCCTGGGGCCAGAGCTCTGGGGGCAAGAGTGAGGCCGGCTTGGTGGTCTGCTTTTACCTGGGTTCTACCCCTGCAGAGGGAAGCTTGTGGCAGAAGCTGAGGGGAGGCTTTGCGAAAGCATGGCCACAGGGTCTACTGTGCACTGTGCACTGTTCACAAGTGCAGCCTAGAAACTTCCATCTGCAGCCCCACCTCAGCCCTGAACTCCAGACTCATATATCCAACCACACTATCCAACCTGGATGCCTAACTGGCCACCTCAAACATTCCACTGCAGCGTCAGATTCCTGGTTTTCCTCCCCAGACCTCCTCCTCCTGCCGTCATTCTCGTCTCTTCTCATCCATGGCCCCCATCTACCCCGTCATTTGGCCGGGAGCCCTGGAGGAGCTGTCGTACAGAGGTAAAGAGCAGGGACAGCTGCGGTTTGCATCCCGCTTCTGCCTCTTACTAGCTGTGTGTTTTGGGACAACAAACTTGGAAGAAGTGAAGGGGTCGGGGTTAAAGCCATGCCCCAGTACTTATATTAGAGTGTTTCTGAGCTCTTCCATAGGCCCTTGGACCTTGGGCATCCATTGTCTGAGTGCTCTCGGGGGCCTTGGGAGATGTGTCGTGGATCTGGGGTGGCCAGCCTCTCCCTGACTACCCACAGGGACATCAGAGGCTTCTTTTAAGGTGGATCTTAGATGTGAAGGATCCTAGAGTGTCAGAGGTGGCCAGACCTCTGGGGTCTGACAGCCCCTCCTTCAGCACATGGGGAAACTGAGGCTGAGATAGGCAGTGACCAGTTCAAAAACCCTAAGTGGAGTAGAAGCAGACCCAAGATTTGTCCTCAAGGCATCCTGACTCCCAGCCAGTGGGTTCCTGAGAACCACTTTTGCACCATTCAGGGTAATTTTACCCTTCCTTTGGGTGCACAGCTTGGTCCCCCACCCCAAGTCGACCTCCAGGGGAGAGAGAGAGCACATTCCAAAGAGGGCCTTACCTGCAGGCTGCGGGGCTTGCCGTATCTCAGATTGGTGACAAAGTGCTTACAGATTTTGCTCAGAAGATGGTACTCCATCTCCTTACCAACTTCCTTCTCCGCAGAGATTATGATCTTGTCCACGGGCAGTGGTTTGTACTCCTTGTCCAAGTAGTTGTTGACCCGGTCGGGGGAGATACCCACCACATCTTTCAGGCGCTCCCTTTTCACCACTGCTTTGCTGCTCTCAGCAGAGAAGACACTGGTGGCACCAGCTCCAGACAACATACCTGGAATCGGAGACACTATCAGGAATGGCAGGGGAATGTGAGATAGCGTGAGAGAAGGCACAAGACGGGACTCAGCTACTTAACTTTCAGTGTTTGTTCCTTTACAGACGTGATTGGAGGCTACACGGATGTTGCTCCTTTTACTTAAACTGAATATTTTTTAACATTAATAAATGATGTGATTGTCAATGGCTGCTATTGTGTTCCATTAAATGAATGTAATCCTCTATTTGATCAATCCCCTATGACTGAGCATTTAAGTTGTTCAAGAATTTAGCCATTGTAAACAGTGACAGTAAATCATATTTGTTGTTTGTACATCTTTGTGCCCATGTGTGTAATTCAGAAAGAGTTCAAAGTTGTGTTAGTGCCCACTGTGTTTTGGACACTATGCTGTGCATCTTTTCACATATTACTTAACTTAATCTCCTTTTTACTTTCATGGCAAATATTATCAACTCCATTTTACAAGCAATATTGGAGCCAGAGAGACTTTATGGAGTTTCTCTGGCACAGTGCTGGCCATATGCAGAGGTCCACAGAAGAGCTCTCACTGATGGAGTCCAAATTCCATTCCATAGTGAGTCCCGGTTTTAGTTTCTATGTGAAAGAGTCACTAATGAGTACACTAATTAAGCATGCTTGTCGTATGTTTCAAATCCAAAGGCTGATGTTTGCACTTAGAATCTGTCCCGTAAGAACAACTATCCGTACACTCAGGCACAGAAAGGACCCCAGGTCCTCACAGTCATTCTTTCTCATCCAAACTTCCTAAGTGTCATCTGGATTAAGTGGGTTTGATTTAGTATTTACCATCAATTCAGACATTTTTACACCTCTGTCGAGGTAGATGATAGCCTGTAGATAATTGCTAAGGTGCAACTATATTATTCTCATCGTGATGATGATTTTTGCCCAGTGACAGTGCAAACGCTTGGTGGAGAAGGTTATGGTGCCATCGCTCTGTAGGACAGGAGCCATTCTGCATCTCAGTTAGCAGTCTTATTCCAGCATCTTTTTTTCTTTCATTGACTATACATACATCTGTATCCTACATTCTCCTTTTGATTGGCTTTGTTATCCTGCTTCTTTTGCTATCAATGAATTAAATAACTCATTCGTAGGTACTCACATGCATTTGTATGAGACTTTGTCTTTCTGGTGTGTAAACCTGTGAGAGCTGCTCCTGTAAAGGAGCGTTAAGTAAATACTCCCAAGACACCTTGTTCTGTGAGATCATATGAGTGCAAAGGACATAATGCTGACAGGCATTCTTCTGTATGAGACCATAGATGTTCAGAGACTTGGCTGCTTTAAGTCAAATCAGACTCTGCAGACCCGGGTAAACGGGCTTGGAGCTGGAGAGACCCGAATGCTCAAGCAGCCAGGCTTCACTGGGGGGGCCACGAGCCTCTCCTCCTGCTTTGTCAGGACTGGTGGGACCCCACTGAGATTGCTTAAAGTGCTCAGGCATGGCTCTGGGGAAAACCAGCTCAGGTTTCCCTTGGTGGGGTTTGGCTTCAGATTGTTCTCATGATGTCAACCAATCTTTTAAAAACTATAATTTCAACAGCCCTTACATGCAGAAACCAGATGGATCACATAACCATCTCCCACGTACAGGGCCCAGTGTGAATAGGGAACACGTGAAATCTCAATTAGGTCTCCAGGCTTGGGTTCTTCATGACTCTGCAACAACAAAAAAACCAGGAAGGTGTAGACAGACTTGTAGGCCACGGCAGAGACCCTGCCTGGGAAGCTGCAGCTCGGCCTGGGGACCCCCTTGCTGATGTTAATCACCTGGTGAGAGCCTGGCAGGGGAAGAGCTCCTGGCCCCAGTGGGGTCCTCAGCCTGCTGTAGCTTTTAGAGGTTGCCCCATGAGAACTGGGAGCCTGGAAACTGGTTGCCTCGAACCTGTAANGTTGATAACCCTTTAATTACCAATCCTTCAAGTACCAATATCAGTTATGAGAGACCACCTTCTGACCACTTTCTACAGATTCTACAATATTAAAATGATAAAAATTGAATATTTTTTAACAACTTGATGCTAAGAAATTTGACAATTTAGAAAAAAAATGAACAAATAACTTAGAAGAGACATACTACCAAAACTCAGTCAAGAAGAAATAGATTGTGTAAATGGCCCTATAGCTATTAAAGAAATTAATTTGTAGTTAAGAACTCTAGGTCTAGATGACTCTACTGATGAATTCAAGCTAACATTTAAGGAGAAAATAATAACCATTTTAGACAAACTCTGGCAAAATTGTAGCGGATAGAATACTTCTCAAGTCATTTTGTAAGTCCAGTACTACTCTTATATGAGAACCAAAAAAGATATTAAGAAAACTATGGACCAATACTTCTCATGAACATACATGCAAAAATGCTTATCAAAATTTTAGCAAATCAAGTAAAAAATCTATAAGAAGGACAATACTATATCAGGACCAAGTAAGCCTTATCTGAGGAATACAAGATTGATGTAACATTTAAAATTAATCAGTGTAACTTACCACATTAACAGATTAATTAAACAAAATTTATGATCATCTTGATAGGCCCAGAAAATGCATTTGGAAAAATTCCAACATGCATTTGTGATGAAAACTAGAAACAAAAGGACATTTCCCCTGACAAAGGACATTAAAAACACACAGCTAATTTTATATGTGTTAACATGTGGGGTGATGTTCAGATCTATTATTCAGACATGAGGGAGGACCCCAGAAATACATGAGAGGCCAAGATGTGGGAGAAATTACAGATGAACTAGAAGAACATTTTCCAGTGCTGATCAGAACCAGGGACTTTTAACATGCTACACAGAATTTGACAGCATGTTGGGGAGGAAAGAAGGTAGAGTCACCTCCTGGATGCCCAGGCATGAAAGGAACAGCTGAGGGGAGAAGCACAGACCTCAGGATGCAGAGTTAATTGACAGTGGAAGATGGACCTCAGAGCCTGAGGCTGAGCGACATAAGTGTCTCTGGCTGGGCCAGTGATGACCAGAGTTTCTGACCATTGTATGCCTCCAGGTCCNGTTTTCTGCTACTTGTGTTCCAAATTGCTGATTCAATCCTTTGCTTCATCTAGTCTGCTGGTGAGTCCTTCCAGTGCATTCTTCATTTCAGTTGTTCTCTTCTTCACTTTTGACTGGTTCTTTTTTATGGCTTCTATGTCCTTTTGTATGCTTCTATTTCTTTGTTGAAGTTGTCATTAAGTTTCTTGAGCACTCTTATAACCATTGTTTTGCACTGTGTATTTGGTAGGTTGCTTGCCTCCATTTTCTTTATTTCTTTTTCTGGAGTTTTCTCCCGTTCTTTCATTTGGGACATAGTTTTGTTTCTTCATTTTGGTTGCCTCCCTATGTTTGTTTCTATGTATGAGATAAATCTGCTGTCTCCCAGTCTTGGCCAAGTGGCCTTATGTAGTAAGTGCCTTGTGGGGCCCTGGCACAGCCTCCTTGGTCATCGGCTCCAGGTGCTCCAGGGGTGTCCCTTGTGTAGGCTGTGTGCCTTCCTGTTATAATTGAGCCTTGATTGCTATCGAAACATCAGTAGGTGGGATTGGCCCTCAGGCTGATTGGCTATGGGGTTTGTTCACATCCACTGCTTATAGGCTGCTCTGTGGGGGGCTTAACCCATTGAGTGGGATTTGCCTCAGTGGGCTCTGGTGCCTATTGATACCACCCTTTGTGTGTGCCACTTGTAGGGCTAATTGGGCAGTGCTCTGTTGTGGTCTGAAGCCAACCTCCAAGTATGCTGGTCCTGGGACCTCTTGGGAGGGTCTCTGGTGCAGGCCAGGCCCCTCACTCCCTGTGACCAGCTGGGGACTACCTGGTAAAAGCTGCAAAGCAATCTTTGATTGTTTTCTGTGTGTGCTAAACTTAGAAGCATATTGGAGAGGTCACAATGCGATCTGAGGACAGATGCGACCAGTACCAGGCATGAGGTAGCTCTGTAAAAAGCCATGGCACCATGAGGCCTCCTGCCACCTGCAGCTCCTTTAAGGTTCATGCACTAATAAAGCCTCATACTTAGTAGTATGCAAGTTGGGTGAGGCAGAGTCTCAGGGAGTCACTGGAGTGGGAAGTCGCCAGGTTAATTTATTGGGTAGTCAGATAAGTGATGATGCATATTTGCAACAGATGGCACTAGNCTAGAATTTGCAGATCAGAGTCCGGGAGAAAAGAACACTGCACAGAGTTGGAAAACCCCAGAGGCTTTCAGAGAATTCCCCTTGATTCTTCAGTTAAGTATGAAGCAATGTATGTGTATCCAAAAACTACCACAAGAAAACAACAACAAACACCAGAAAGGAAATGGTGGAAAGCTTCTAAGGGCCATCAGGGACTAGAAATAGTACATGGGGATGCAAATTGAGTATTCAGGAGAATAACACTTTAGTAATGGCCTTAAAATGCTTACAATCAAACCTTGAAAGGATCACGCTATTTCTAAGTAGCTGAACTGTGATCCAGAACAAAGCTCAAAAACATTTAAAGGAATACAAAAGAATCCAGCAATTAACACCAAAAACTTTCAAAGCAAATGTTATCCACCACAAAAGTATCAATAATGCAAAGAAGTGTAATGAGACCCACATTGAGTAGCAAACTCAATCAGAGAAAACAGTCCTAGAATTGACACGGATAATAAGATTAATAGACAAAGTCATTAAAACAATTTTTATAAATATAACCTATGTGTTTAAGAAGGATGAAGAAAGCCTGAGCGTGTTACAGGGAGACATGGAATATATAAAAACAACCCAATTGAACTTTAAGAGATGAAAAATACAATATTTGAGATGAAATGAACCCTAGTTGGAATTAACAGATTAGACACTCTGGAAGAAAATATTAGTAAGCTTCAGAGCCAAAAATAAAAATCTATCCAAAGTAAGCCCAGAGAGAAGAGTTCATTAGTGACTTGTGGAACAACTTCAAGTAAACTAACATGTGTGTAGTAGAAGTTTCATATAATTGAAGCAGTGTAGAATAAAAATCGTCTAGAGACATTTTAGTTGTCATAACTGAAGGTGTGCTACTGGCATCTAGTGGGTAGATGTCAAGGGTATTGCAAAATATCCTATAATGCACAGGACAGCTCCACAGCCAAGATTTACGTGGCTCAAAATGTCAGTAGTGCTGAGGTGGAAAAACTCGGCCTTAAAAGCAATCATTAAAAATACAAAAAAAGGGGGCCCGTTGAGTGGCCTAGTTGGTTAAGAGCGTGAGCTCTGAGCAACAGGGTCACCAGTTTGATTCCCACATGGGTCAGTGAGCTGCGCCCAAACTGAGCTGCCCTGAGCTGCCGACGGGTGGCCAGATGGCTTAGTGGTTAAAGTGTGTGTTCTTAGGAACAGGGTTTCCAGTTCGACTCCCGCATGGGATGGTGGGCTAAGCCCATCTGCAACAAAGATTGAACACGGCACCTTGAGCTGAGCAGCTGCGAGCTGCCAATGGGAGGCTGGACAACGACTAGACTTGGAGCTGAGCTAGCTGCGCCCTCCACAACTAAGATTGAAGGACAATTTAGCTGTTCCCCTTCCCCAATTTCCCAATAAAATCTTTTAAAACAAAAAAATACAAATAAAGGGGACAAAACTAATAAGACAATAGATGGAGTAAAATGGAAATGAAAAATACTCAATGAAGAAAAAAAGGCAGAAGTAGAAAAAAAAGAACACAGAACTCATGGGATAATTTGCAGGGTGCAGCTAAAACAGTACTTAGAGGGAAATTAAAGGTACTGAATACATATGTTAGAAATAAAGAACAGTCGGGCCGGCCGAGTGGCACAATGGTTAAGAACTGGCTTGGGATGCCAGAAGGCCCCGGTTCGGATCCCACATATGAGGGCTAGTGACACTGCCCTCCACAGCTAAGATGCTGAACAACAGCTCGACCTGGAGCTGGGCTGCTGTGAGTCACCGGCGATGGCGTAGGCTGCAG